TATTAAAATACATGAGTAAGAAAATAAACCCCATTAATTCATATTCTTCTCAAAATTTATGACATGGTCTAGAACTTAGTAAATGCTTTCTTAATACAAAGTGAAAATTAATAATGTAAACAGGGTCTTGCTAGAAATATTTAAATACTTAAGGAAACATACTTTGAAACACCCCTAGTCCATGGGGTATGTCACCTACATACAGTTGGTTTACTAGGTAGAAGGAGCTCATTAAAATAACTCCAACAGGCCAGTAATTGTTAGACTAGACAGAGCACATGCTTCAAAAGTAATGAAACTCTGTATCTTTAAAGATATTACATAATTAAGATTTTCAGTTAAATAAAGCTGACCTTTTCCCCTAATAAGGAGGTTTTATTGTATAGAGATAGATATTAATATAACATACTTGAAGTGCTAATGCTGAGAAAGGCTAGTCAAATTCACCCTTCTGCGATTTGTGCCTTTGTGTTGCTACTTCCTGACTACTCCAAGGTCAGAACTCAACACACCCTGGGAAGGCTGGGGAAGAGCCTGAGCCCTGGGTGCTGGTGATTCCGGCAGAGCAGATGGTAGAGGGAGTGCAGTCTTTGTCAGAGGCTGCCTGTCCAGGTAATCACTGTGAACTTAAGTGGATTTGGAACTGTCTTTGATTTTTACTCTTTCCTACACAGAGCTTTCTCTAATATGTTTCATTTTGTGGGACATAACAGGATTTGGGCATTACTAGGTTAAACACAGCTAAACATATTTTGCTGCAAGGTTTCTTGTGGCCTTCTGTAGTCATGAATTTTTGAGAGAGACCCAATGCCATCTCCTAAACTTACTTGGCTCAGAAGCCTTTCTGGTGAAACATCTTGTAAGACCAGGTTCTTCAGAAACACACTCTAGAAAACACTATCTTTCACATCTATTGCATTGCCAAAGTCTAAAGCGTGAATCAGCTTTAATCCTTTCAATGGAAGCATTGTCACCGGGATAGCCTCTAAACTTCTGGATGGCCTTGCACAACCTGGGTCCTGCTGACCCCCCCAGCCTCGGCCTCATTTCTCAACACAACCTCCCACACTCGTGCTCCTGTGAGGGAACCACTGGAGGATTTGTTGAAACAGATCTGGGCCTTGCTCTGGCTGTTTCCTAGCTCCCCACTGAGTACCCCACCCCCTCCAACCTTTGCTCGGCTTACTTCTGCCCAGTTTTTGGAGTGAGTTAAAGGGGAGCCTTTTTAGATCCCCATGCATGCCTTCGAAGCCTCCTTTATGTGTTCCTATACCCACGTCATATTAGTCCCATGACTGCATCTCCTGCTGAGTCTCGTTGGTCATCACTGAGGTTGGGATTGGGCCCTACACTGCTCTGCTGTCTTACCAGTGCCTAAGACAGACATCGGGCACACAGAGGCCAAAACTGTATTTGTGAAATTGTTGATATGATAGCTCTTGCTAGACAGTTGATGGCACACCCCCCACTGCTGCTAGTAATTCAGGACCACCAGGGCCCACTCTGTGGGCTTATATAAAGGTTTGCTTACCTTTAGATGGGCAGCAGAGTACTCTTTCATAGTACAGTGACGAGGAGTTCTATTGATGCACATGAAGCAGGAAGCAGAAGTGGCACATAAACTGGAGTTTCTACACAAAGACCTCTTCTTTGACACGGAGACACTGGGCCCTATCAGATGGACATGGGAGGATGATGCAGAGTTGGCCTAAAGAAAAGGGAATCTAGTTCAACTCCTTAGACCTACCAACTTTGGCTCAGAGCCAGAGCCTCAGGACAACCTAGTACAGGTACTTACTCATCATGTTCTTCTTTTTGGCATCCAGAGAGATATCATCAAAGTCTGGGGAGGCAGCCACATAATTTCTTTCTCATCATTGCTACGGCATCTCAGATTTCTTTGCCATTCTAGACCAGCAGCACTGATGATGTGTCCATAGCTCCCGTCTGGAAGTTTTGCTTCATAGCAGACTCAAAGAAAAGATAAAGATGGTTGGGTGCCTGGGTGGCTCAGATGGTTAAGCGTCTGCCTTCGGCTCAGGTCACGATCCCGGGGTCCTAGGATCGAGTCCCGCATCGGGCTCTCTGCTCCTTGAGAGCCTGCTTCTCCCTCTGCCTCTCTCTCTCTGTCTCTCATGAATAAATAAATAAAATCTTAAAAAAAAAAAAAAAGAAAAGAAAAGATAAAGATGGTCATGCTATCAGAGTGCACGGTAGGGAAAAGGGACTAAAATGGCTTCCCCAGAACTTGGACTTCTCTATGACTTTCAAGGAGTTCTTTAGGATGGTGATCAACACAGTTGGAAACCTTGTGGGAGTCTATCACGGGAGTCTAGAAGTAGCCAGTATGAAAGCTTCTGTTTCTTCTAAGGTCACTGGAGCAGATTAAGATCTCTAATTCAGCATGACTTGACTATGTTGCTCAAGACTCAAGTCTCATTCACTTCCTGCTTCCTTCTTCTAATCAGCCAGCACAAGTAGGATGGAGTTTCTGACTTCAAGGATGTCACAGTGGAATACTGCACAGGTCAGTTTCCTCAAAGACGCCTCCCCCATTGCCCATTACACCACTCACAGTCTTTTCTGTCCCTACGTTTTGGTCTTGGAGCTTGTGGCTGCCATTCCCACCATCCTCATGAGATGAAAGATGGGTGCCTTTGTGTGTGTGTGTGCACATGTGTGTGTGTGTGTGTGTACAGACACCCATGAGGAGTCAACCTTTCTTTTTTGTATAGTCCACTCATGCACTAAACTCAAGCAGCAAACTGTAGTTGTGCAAGAATAGCTCCATTTGTCATTGGGGAACTCTGGGGTAAAGCCACAAAATGTGCTCCTCCACCTGTTGGTCCCCCAAAGGGAAGGATGCAAATTCTTTCGTATTTTTGGTTTCCCTTCATGATAGGAGAGGTAAACAACTTGATAGGAATGCATACTGCTGCTACTGTTGTCATTTTTTTTTTTCAGAATTGACAAATTCTCAATGAAAAATTAAATTCTGAGTCACAGGAAGAAGCTAGCATTAGTACACAGGTTTCAAAACTGAACACCCCGTACTCAAGACCCTCAAACTTGCTGCCTCTGTAAATCAAACTGTAGTCTTCTATGGGAGATGTACTTGCTTGGAAGGAGAAGGAATAAGAATTAAAGAATTAAAGGATAGTGAAGAGAGAATAGAGTGAATGCAGAGTCATAGCTTCCTCTCTGCAATGAAGCCATGTGTTTCCTGAATTAACAGATATTATTTAGTTAATGTGTGAAAAAGACAAAGGCTACTTTGTGATGTCTTTTTCTTAATAATTTTCTCTATGTTTTTAGAATCTGAACTGACTTTTTGCTATAGAACTAATTCAGTTAAATTTTCTGACAGACTTGAAGGAGGGGCCGTTATGTACAGAAACTTGGATGTTAACTAAGTAGCCCCCTGATATAGTACGGCAGCTTCAACGAGACATACTCTCTCACACTGGTTTCACGCCTTAGAGGTAATCTCACACCACATTAATCAATATTTTGCTGCCCATTTTACCATATAATCCAGTGGATGTTAAAGATATAATTTACCATATAGGCCTGATTAATTGAAGAAAAATATAGCTTCTTATTGCTGACATTATGAGGTTAGAAATAGCATCCTATGCTAATCTGCAATGCCAAGAAATGAAGATGGTTTAAATCAGATCTCATGACTAATGCATGAGATCCAAAGTTCTTTTATTCCTGGCTATTTTAGAAAACTGGGGTGTATTTTTACCCTAAAAACTAATTCTATAAGATTTATTGAGATAATACAAAATGCCTTATTATTAATAGTTCACAATCAAGATTTTTGTACTACCGATGATCACAGAAATGCTGTTTCTCCATTTAAATTTTTAAAAAATTATGTATATGCAATTAAGTCCAGGTTCAAGGATATAATATTTGATCCTTAGTTTTGTTTTGTTTTTGATATTCAATATCTGGAAAGATAAAGGAAAGTGTAGATTGCTTTCTGTGGTAGTTATTCCATTTTAAGTGTACTTATTGTGCATTCGTTTAAGCAGAAAGAAATATATCTAGCAATAAGGTAAACCTGTTTTTCTGCTTGTTTTTGTTTTGGTCATGACAAACTGTGAAATGCTGTGTTTTTCCTATAGTTCTAGTCCACGAAATCTGCAATCTTTCCACTTGATTTACGAAGGACCCTTAATTACTGCTGTCATTAGCACCTAGTGTTCAAAACAGTCTGTTAAAATGTACTGTTAGTCTCACCTCCAAGTCCCTACTTGCTTTATTTTAATTTTTTTCCAAGGGTAAGTAAAACAATAATTGCCTTAATAACAACAATCATGTACAGCGAATTAAATAAAATTCCAAGTTTTTTGGTGCCTATTTCTTTTTTGTTCAGAATTCGGTATTTGTGTGTTAAGACTGGCTTAGATTTTGAACAAGTGTCCGTAAGCAGGGTTATTACTAAGAAGGACTTATTACCTGGGTTTTAAAAACGAGTCACTCATTTGTCTTTTTCTTTCCACATGGGTAAAGATGACAGACAACTGCTGTGAAGCTTCAGTGTTTCTGCCTGGTCATGCACAGTTCTGCAATATAATGCATAAATGTATAACAAGAACTTGGGCTTGCATGATACCTCGCTTGGAATAAGGAAATCCAGCCAGGCGCGTTCACGCGGCCATCTTCGCGCGCGCGCGCGCGCGCGCTCACACACACACGCTCGCGCGCGCACACTGACACACACAGACACAGACACAGACACACACACACAACACAGAGACACACACACACACACACACACACAGGTCAAAAGTTGATTAATTCCCGAGATCCCCCAGAATCTTTTTCTCTTTTCTGGCAGCTCGGCATCCAGTCAGGGTAGTAGTGAGGTTGGGGGCGTGGAGGGGCGGGGAGGGCGAGGCGAGGGAGGCGGGAGCCGGGTGCCGGTGCGTGCGCGCCCGCTCCTGCCGGGTGAGAGTCCGGGCCGGGTTTTGCGCCGTGTCCCCCGGCTTGTCTCACGGCCTCCAGCCGCCGCCGCTGCCGTGTTTACTGAGCTCGCGCGTCCTGATATCACTCCGCTGGCATGGAGGAGGAGGAGGAGGTGGAGGAGCGAGAGGAGGAGGAGGAGGTGGCGGCGGCGGCGGCGGCGGCGGCGAGCAGTTGATCATTGTGATGGTGGCAGGAGCAGCGGCGGCAGCGGCAGCCCAGCCGAGCGTTAGGGGCTGCTCTCCGCGCGGCGTTTTGCAAAGGACTTCACCGATCTACTTTTGCAGTCGCCTCGGACTGTCCATGTGTTTACTTCCCCCAGCCCGAGGATTCGATATCTAGGTTCCTGTGAAATGCAACTGAGCAGCCAAAGTACTTTGAGAACACGGGGCGGCATAAACACCAAAACTTTTTTGTGGAAGGAAAATGCAATAAGCAAGCTTGCCGTTTTCCGATGCGGTGTGGAGTGAGTGTGTGTCGCGCGTGTCCGCACCGGAGGCATATGCTTGTGTGTGTACATGGGGTGTATTTTTCGGTACGTAGGGAGAAAATGCTTGCCAACCACCGGAAATCTCCTGGAATTTATTAGAAAATAATGGATTATAAAAAGAAGGCAGGAGAGGAGCGGATCTCCCCTTGAGTTGCAACCCGATTTGCTGCTGGCTCAGTTTGTTGTGATTCTTTTTGTTGATAGGTGTCTGATGGTATTCTGATAACACCCCCCCCTTTTTTCCCCTCGAGCTTTACAGTTTAAAAAAAGGAAACAAAAAAAACCCACCCCAAAATCTCTCCCCCTTTTTTTCGCCCCGTCGGGATCGCTGTTTCCATCCATGTGCTTGCGTCTCCCCCGCGTTCCACTTAAACTATTTTAATTCTTGGACCCAAGGAGGAGGCTGATAGGGGGGTGGATAAAAAAAAGTTCTTCCAAAATAGTGTGCCCGGGGAGCAGGATGGGGGATTTCGCAGCCCCCGCTGCTGCCGCGAATGGCAGTAGTATTTGCATCAACAGTAGCCTGAACAGCAGCCTCGGCGGGGCCGGGATCGGTGTGAATAATACTCCCAATAGTACTCCCGCTGCTCCGAGTAGCAATCACCCCGCTGCCGGCTGCGGCGGCGGCGGCTCCGGGGGCCCCGGCGGCGGCTCAGCGGCGGTTCCCAAGCACAGCACCGTGGTGGAGCGGCTCCGCCAGCGCATCGAGGGCTGCCGGCGGCACCACGTCAACTGCGAGAACAGGTATCAGCAGGCTCAGGTGGAGCAGCTGGAGCTGGAGCGCCGGGACACCGTGAGCCTCTACCAGCGGACCCTGGAGCAGAGGGCCAAGAAATCGGGCGCCGGCACGGGCAAGCAGCAGCACCAGAGCAAACCCCAGCAAGATGCGGAGGCTGCCTCGGCGGAGCAGAGGAACCACACGCTGATCATGGTGAGGGCGCACTGGCAGCAGGCGTGGGGCGCGCGCGTGGGGGGGGGGCGTGGAGCTTCTTATATGGGGGGAACGGGTGTCTGATTTGCACGGTGGCGAGATGGGCTGAAGCCGAAGGGTTAACATCAACTTTTCTGAGGGAAAAGCTGCCGTCGTCGCTACCTGTTAATCTGTCAGGGTTGTCAGATTTGGGGAAGAGGGGGCGAGAGGGGAGAAGCCAGTCACGACTGCGAGGGGCGGAGGGAGCCTGGAGGAGAGCCGGAGTGAGGCACTGGAAAAGTTTTCCCCCCCTCTCCCTTTCTTAGATACGGATTTGAAAGAGAGTGAACCCAGAGTTGAAACCTCGCTCCTCCTCTTCACGACTCCCCACCCCACCCCTTGCCGTGCCGCTTCGCCTTTCCAGACCCGTCCCCCTGCGCCCACCCCTCTCAGCACATCCGCCGGGTGCAGGGAGAAATTGATGCTGTCGCAGATTCTGGGCGGGCACCAGGCCCTCAACCCCTGGGGGGGGGGGGGAGGGAAGGGAGAGGTTCTCGCCTCCTCTCCCTAGCTCACCCCCTTTGGGCTGAGAAAGTCTGAGAGTTTTGTGAATGAACTTTGAAGTGGGTGAGCAGCGAGCGAGGGTGGCTGCGCGCGCGCGTTCGCGGGAGCGCGCGCGGATGCGGGGCGCGGGTGCGCTCTCTCGCCGCTAGAGCCCCGAGGCTGGCCCGGCAGGTGGAGCGGCCGGGAGGGTCCAGGGGGGAGCGGCCTGGCGGGTGTTAGCAAGGGAGAGCTAGGCCCCCGGCCTGCAGCCAGGGTCCCGACCACGCAACTCCGCTGGGAATTCTCCTCCTCCCATTAAACTTGCTTGCACCGAGCCGGCTTCAGCCTCCACCCCGCTCCCCGCCAACTTTCCAAGCTGGTCTAATAAGCCCGGAGGAGTGGAAGGTAGCAGGGAGGTGAAAGAGGCTTAAATGGCTGGGTGGGTGGGTTCGAGGTAGATGAGCAGCCAATGGCTTAACTTCTCGCGGAGGAAGGGGCAGTTCCCACCCCCTAACCCTGAGGGTAGAATCCTTTCTCTTATCTCCTCTCTCCGGTTCTTTGGCTTTCCTTTCTGGGTGGGGGTGGGGGGGAGGCCGGAAGCTTGGGAAAGGTGTCTGCAGCCCCCCTCCCCCACCGCGCCTCCTGGCTTAGGGCTGCGCGTGTGTGCGGCGTGGGCCGGGCTGTGGGAATCCAGGAGCACGGCCCGGCCGCGCGCGGTCTCCCCTTTGCTTTGCCGACCGCCCCTCGATCGGCCGCGCAGCGCCCGGCGCGGGCGGCCCCCTCAGTCTGCGCTTTATACCTCGCGCACATCCCGGGTCTGGGAGTCCTCGGCGCCGAGGGTGGTGCCAGTGCGGCCGCGGGCTTTCGCCCGGCACTCTGGCCGGCGCTCCGTGACAAAGAGCCGGCTAGGGGGAGGGGAAGAGGAGAGGCCGCAGCGCTCGCTCCCCACCCTCTCCACCTCCCCCCACCCCGCACGTGAAGAGGAACAATTTGTTTATCTTGGGCTTCAGGAATCCTTCCCTCCTCCCCGTTCTCCGAGGCCGCCCGGCCCCTCCTCCTCCCCACCCTCCTCGGCGCGATCCTGCCCAGTCCCGCCGGCTGCACCTTCCCTCCTCCCCCTCCTCTTCCTCCTCCTACATCCCTCTGGCCCGCCTTCCCCCTCCCTCTCGGTGCGTGGCCGTCGCGGGGAGGGAGCGGGAGGCGCTTTGTCCGCCTGGCGGCCGGGCTCTGCCCCCGAGGCCGCCCGGCTGGGAGGGGCGCTGCGCCCCGCGGTCCTGCCTCCTCCGCCCGGGCCGCCCGCGCCCCGCGCGCCCCACACTCCCCAGCCCCCGATCCTGCCCCGGGCGTGAAGAAGAGGCGGACTCTGTTTAGAGGAAGAACGCCTGTCACCGGAGTCCGGGAGGGAGGTTCTGGCTTTACAAACAGGAAGCCGAAAGCCACTGACACACTGTAGCTTTTCTGATTGTACCCGGAGGCGGGGCCGGACCTGCATCTCGACCGTATCTCGCTGGCCCTTCTCCTACCTATTTCTCTCCCAGTCCGCGTGGTCTCCCTCTCCCCGCCCCCTCGCGCCCTTCCACATATGGGGAGACTCACTTTGTGAACCTAAGACTGAAGTAGAATTTGAAAGGCGCTGGCAGTTTCATGCCTGCCTGCTCCACCCCCTCTTTTCATGTGTTTGTACACCCCACACGCACGAATTGCGTAAAAATAGGCTTTTTTTTTTTTCCTTTCTTCCGTGAGGCTCCAAAATCTCAGCACCACGCAATTTCTCCCGACCTTTCGGGATGGAGGACTGCGGTGGCGTTACCTCGCCAGCTGGGCAACGCTGGAACAAAAGCCAGTACCCTCCCCGGTGCCCGGTCGCTTTTGATCGCAGGCGAGAGCAGTAGAGTTAGCGGCCAGAAAGTTTTCATGTTTGGGTTAGGTTCTCTCGAGGCTGCCCTGTGGGCCTTCGGAGGGGGAGAGGGAGCACTCGGGGTGTGCGCGCCCGGGTTATAACACACCCGCAGGTGGAAGGAAGTCGAAGATCCTGACGTTACCTGGAAGGAGGTAGCAAGCTCAAGCCAGAGCTTACTTTTGAAAATGCAAAGACAATGCTTACTTGAATGGAGGAGACATAAGCTGTAAATATAGTGAATCCCAGCTTAGCAAGTTAACAGACTTGAAAAATGATTGCCTGAAAAATAGCATTTGTCTGTCAATTTTGTGACAATTTAGCCCATTGATTAGATTGACGTAAATGCCAAGGCTGTGCACGGAACAGTATATTCTAGCTTCAGCTGTTTTTCACATATACATCTCCCATTGATATCAGTGGGAAGTATGTGTGATGAGTGTAATGAAAATAAACAGCCTTAATTCTTAAGCAAAGAGTTGCATGTAAAAAAAAAGGAAGAGTTGCATGTACATTCTATGTACCACAAAAAGGAAAGAAAATAACATCATTCTTGATAAGCTATTTTTTCTTTAAAAATAATTAGTTTAAAAATTCACATTGGCCCTTGAAATGAAAGAGTACTTTAACTTAGTCTATGTATGAGATAAAATTTTGGAAGCAGAGGTTGCCAAAAAAATGTTGAATTTTCATTTTCTTGACTTGGCGGCTGGATTATAGTTGGGCTCTGGTGGGGCACAGAGCAACTACATTTAGTTCTCAGATTGGGCTGTCTATCTGGAAGACCCCAAAGAAAAGCAATAATCAAGCAGAGCCAAATAATAATAATGGTGATGATAAAAATAAAGATGAATAGGATTCTTTTCTGTTTTATTGCTATTGTTGACCTTCTTAGGGCCAATATGTCCAAAGTACTAAATACCGATTAGTTCTCTTTTTGCCTGGTTTGGTTTAAGGAGGCAGTCTAATCAGTTCTTTACCTCTTTTGATTTGTTTTCTTATCTTATACATTTTTAAGCACAGGCATGAAAACAAAAAAATAAACAAGCAAACAAAAAGCAGGATGGGTGAAGTGAAATAGAAATCTTCCTTGGTTCCAGGCTTCTAGAAGGAGCCTAGGTTTTGTGTGTATTTCTAATAGCTCTGCCTGTTAAGAGACCAGGGAGCTCAAAAAGGCCTCTGTTTGAAGCTGCAGTATCTCAGGGGAAAGGTAATTTCTGGACATGTAGTCAGTCAAATGACATTTACCCATTCCGCCCAACACACTTGCACTTTGTTTGTATAGAAGGGATTGTCCCTCAAAGAGTTGTTGGTGAGAACTATTGATTTCACTTATTAAAGAGTCTCAGGTAAAAAGGTGTCTTTTCCTAAAATAGTTTTAATTATTTGTGGTAACAAGAGACATTGTTCGTTCTCTGTACATGGAACTGAAGGCCTGGTTAAAATTCTAAGGTAAACTCCAATTGACACATTCATTTTCAAATCAAAGATAGATTGACTTGACAGAGGTGTAATCATTCAGGCACACCAAAAAGCATGACAGTGCAGTCTTCAGAATTTCAAAATGGTGGTAGCCTTACTTGACCTGGTTCAGTCCTGTGTTTTCATGACTTTTTCACTCTGTTAGTGCCATTATAACTTTCAAAGTGTGCTTAATTTTTACGGAGTTTACAGACTGCGTAAATCTGTGTGGTTCTTGCTCTGAAGAGTTTATCACATAAAATTCAATTGATAATAAACTTATTAATTACTGAGTATTGGAGAAAACAGCAACCTATCCAGAATTTTCTCATCCATTCCTGGAACAGATCCAGGAAATGTCAACATATTAGTCCAGTGCTAAACCTCCTTATAAATGAATCTGGTTTCCCATTTCTTATCCTGTTGAAGGTAGATTACTGGCTCTGTATCCAGGTTTTTTGGCAGGCTTGTAATGTCAAACCATTTCTAAATCTTTCATAGGAACGTTTTCATTGGCTTATCCTGTTCTGCTATCCTGGGTGATAGGATTGACAGTTGCTTCTTGAAAAGCTTTCCATAGCCCACACAGGGTGTGCCTTAAGTTTGTGAAAAACTTTCTGGAATTTCATTGCCCTGTGCTTCACAAGTGTTGTCTTTTAATTCTTAAGAAACATTTTTTTTTTAAAGCTCCAATACATATCTAATTATATTATTTATGTTCTTTGGTGGTGGTGCATTTTATTTAGTACTGGGCAGCTAGAGATCAGAAACGTAGAAGCACATTTAGTTAATGATTAATCATAATCTACAAAATGCTCTCCGGGCTGAGTTCCTTCCCAGGGAAAGCTGAGTTTTCAGGCAGGTGGTATATTTGATACTTTCCATCCTGACTCATTAGAATTATAAGGGCAAGTTTTAGAATCTTTGTAGGTTTGTGTTACCTGAAATGAGGAAAATAAACAGTCCAGGTATATGGTTTACTGACATTTCTGTAAGAAGAAAGATGAGAATTTTAAACATTAAAATAGAGTTATATAGAGTCATTACATAAATATCTGAGACCAATAGCGAACTGTTATTAAAGAGGTTTCCTGACGGAGCTCTTCCATTGGTTGACATA